CTTTCTGTAGGTGAAGGAATTTAAATACAAAGAGGTGTAAAAAGTGACCACGTCTGTTCTGAGCTGGGTTTAACTACTCCTAGTCACTGCTGTGAGGAGTTCATCCATTCCACAGAGCTCCACCAGCACCACTGACTTCCTGTCACACACAGTAGGAACCAGAAAACAATCATACAGAACAGGGGAAAAAACTAAAAACCATGTTAGTTTATTACTCATTTCAAAATCCAGGAGATTACAAAGATTCTGGAAGAGAGGGAACATTTGTCAGTGCCACCCTGAGCCTTCCTGCACATTTCTTTCAATCTGCCTCTGTTCCTCCTCAAGCAGGACTGCAATAAATCTCACACATTCCCAGCATGGAGGGATCCTGTTCTGACCCCTGGGAGATAACACAGATCAGATTTGTTCACAGCCCAGCCCAGCCCAGCAACATCCACAGCTCAGCTGAGCGCCTTGGATGAGACACAAATGTGGAGTCCAAATTTAGAGAAAGAAGAAGAAGAGATCCTCTCTCTAATCTGCTCCACATATTCAGCTCAAGAAACAGATAAAAGAGGTGCCACAGTCACTGGGAGGTCAAAGCACTCAGCATCTTCCAGGAGGTGATCACCTCCCTGGATCAAGGCATATTCCTTTTTCTCTTAGGGGCCTCCATAACTTTCCCTCAATAAAATGAAACTGCAGCTACCCACATTAATTTTCCTTGGGCTGAAGCTTTCAAATGTGAATTTTTCTGCCTCAGATCAGAGGGTCCTGATGCCATCACTAATGAGTGAGAAACTTCCAGTGAATATTTATTAAAAATCCACTGTGGCTTAATATACTTCAATAAAACTTCTTCTTTTCCTGCCAAAGTAAAACTCCTCTTAAACCATAGGTTCTCCTGCTGCTTCAGTTTGCTGGAAAGCCCATGATGTTAAACCCATCCTTGGTTGCTTTGGTTTTTATGCAAATTCCAACAATCAGAGTTATATAAGTGCTTATGCAATGAAAAGAAACATAATACACGAACCTGCCCATGTCACTGAGAGTTACTTACAAGAGCTATAAATCAAAGTTCTGTTCTGCTTTATATTTAAGGGCCTACAGCACAGGCAAAATGTCATATATGCCCAAAATTTCCTTTCACTCACTTCCCCTCCCAAAGAAAAAGAAAACTACAATTCAGCTGCCTGCTGAAGGCTATTCCGTAGTCAGAGCCCATGCAAAATTGTATTAGAAGCTTTGAAGTTAAAACATGAACATTGACTACCAGGGAGGGCCCTAAAGACAAAGACATTTACTGGATGTAAATGTTCAGTGAAGATAAAGGTCACCTTCTACTTTCCCAAAATCAAACCATGTTGGAAACTCCACATCCTGCTCTCAAGTTTTGCTTCTGAGCATGAAATCTTTTCATGGAAGGAATCAGCAGTGAAATATTATTAACCTTGGTGATTGATTATGTTGTAATGGCCAAGTTCTGATAACCTCAGAGGCCATGGGAGTCTCAGCAGAGCCTCAGCTGGTGGGACACAGGAATCTGATTCATCCCAGAGAATCAGATTCATCCAGAGCAGATGGGGCATGAGCAGAGGAGCTGCTGGGCAAGCCAAGCCTCCAGCCTGCAGGAAATGAGGTTTTATCTCAACTGGTGGCGGCTTCGGGCCAAATCAAGCAGGAAACCAACCCTTTTGAAAATGCCCACAAACTGGATATTCCCGGAAGGGTCACTTCAGA